TTTTAGTAGAGATGGGGTTTCTCCATGTTGGTCAGGCTGGTCTCGAACTCCTGACCTCAGGTGATCCACCCGCCTCAGTCTCCCAAAGTGCTGGGATTACAGGCATGAGCCACCGTGCCCGGCCACCTATCACAATATATTTTAAGAAACTAAATAGAGGATGGGCATGGTGGCTCACGCCTGTAATCCTAACACTTTGTGAGATCAAGGCGGGCAGATTACCTGAGGTCAAGAGTTTGAGACCAGCCTGAACAATATGGAGAAAATCTGTCTCTACTAAAAATACAAAAAATTAGCCAGGCGTGGTATCACATGCCTGTAATCCCAGCTACTCGGGAGGCTGAGGCAGGAGAATTGCTTGAACCTGGAAGGTGGAGGTTACAGTGAGCCAGGATGGCGCCATTGCACTCTAGCCTGGGCAACAATATCGAAACTGCATCTAAAAAAAAAAAAAGAAAGAAACAAAATACAAGTGACTTTAAGAGTCAAAGATTGCATTGAAATTAATATAGGCCTACTTTTGCATTCAGGAGTGTAATGATAACTTCATGAATATGGCCCTGGGTGAAGCCCAGGACAGTATTTCCAATAGGAAATGTATAAAGTTAGGAAATACCACTTTGTTTGTGAGTATTTTAATCATTTGGTCAACACTATTTATGTCGACCTTAAGGGACAAGAACAGTAATCCTAGATTGAATGAAACCTCTGGAAGAGGCTTCTGACCTTCTTCTCCAGTGGGATAATTTCCATTTCCTCCAGGGCAGCATGCTTGGTACATGAAGAGCCAAAGTGAAAACCAGCTACTTGAGTAGGTCAAAGGGTAAAGTACTCTTCTATGGACTTGCTCTGGTGTTTAGAACAACCATATGATAGAATGTCTTTCTTTCAAAGTATTAGCTTTTGGTGAGATCATGGAGGGAATATGAGGAGAGAAAATAATGTTAGACATAGGTTTTTAGATGGGAAAATGTGTGTTTGACCTTTTATGATTTTTATAAATTAAAATATGATCTAAGGATCTGCAAATGGGAGCAGAATATTTATAGCCAACTAGGAAAATCTGAATAGCAAATTTCATTGGTTTGCAGATGGTACATAAATGTGACTTTGCAAAAATAGATCAGAGAGAACAGGAGAGAAATGGAGAGTAATTTATTGCAGTGACAAGGAAAACAATGTCTAGACCCCAAAACTAAACAATTATTTTCCTGTTTTGCTAAAGTACTTTATATGTTAACTTTTAAGATAATTACCTCAATATTTTATTCAGTTGAACATGCAAGCAACATTTTAGTTTGTGTCATTTAAAGTTTCTTTTCTTATCTGTGCTTTAGTTTTTGAACAATGCAAATGGAGATATGAAGAATAATAATGCTCAAAGACCAGGATCAAGATAAAACATACCACAGAAGTCAACTATTCAGGCCCATTAAGCATTTCAAACTCTGCATGTCCAAAACCAACTTCAGCTGCTTCTCTGCGTTTTCACATGAAATCTAGAATTTTAGGGATTATCCTAAACTTCTTCTCTCCCTCCAACTTTCCCCACAATAGTCATTGAATTCTCCTTATACCAACTTCTTTTGTAGTACTTCCCTTCTCTATCTTTGCATTTGCCATTATCTTTATTAATACTCTCACCATCCCCCCGGTCCCACCCCCACTCATTTTAAAGATAGTCTAGGACTTTCTGAGTGGTCTTTCTGACTCTGATCCTGTGATGTACCCTAGAATGATCTTTCTAAAACAAAAATCTAACCAGGTGGCACCTCTCCTTCCACTCCAAGTATTCAGTAAATGCTTGGATTAGATACACTGGATTCAATAAAATCCAAATTCTTCAGCTTAATACACAAAGCTCCTCACAATCTAGTCCTGGCTTGTGGCTTCTGCCTCATGACCAGCCATTCCAGCACTACACACAGGGCCCTGAGTATGTCTTACTCTTCCCCACCACTTTGACTTCAAATATCTTGCTCCTTATTATTCAAATGCTTTCCTTACTTTTATGAAGCACAGTTCAAGATCCCTCTTCTGGGCTCTACTACCCTCAGCCCCAACCCACACCAGTCTACTTTATTTATTTTTTTATTTTTATTTATTTATTTTTTTGAGACAGAGTCTCGCTCTGTCGCCCAGGCTGGAGTGCAGTGGCCGGATCTCAGCTCACTGCAAGCTCGGCCTCCTGGGTTTACGTCATTCTCCTGCCTCAGCCTCCCGAGTAGCTGGGACTACAGGCGCCCGCCACCTTGCCTGGCTAGTTTTTTGTATTTTTTGGTAGAGACGGGGTTTCACCATGTTAGCCAGGATGGTCTCGATCTCCTGACCTCGTGATCCGCCCGTCTCGGCCTCCCAAAGTGCTGGGATTACAG